ATTAGGACAGTGCCTATGGCCCATGAAAATATTTAGGACCAACAAGATGTTGGGGCCCACGAAAATTTAATTAGGACCGATTTATCTATTAGCACATTGTCAAGGACCCACGAGTATTTTTTTTTTGTTGTCCATGCAAAATAATTGAAAAATTCATATTTTATTGAGAAGTTAATATAAATCCATTGACAAAAGTCAATAAAGTAGTTTAATTAGGACCCTTTTATTTATCAGGTACTTATGACCCACAAGTTTTTAGGGCCCACAAGATTATTATTTTTGGGCCCACGAACAATTGTTGAAATTGTGATTTAAAAATACATATTTTATTGTTAAGTTAAGTAAGAGGAGGACTGATGTGAAGGTCCCACGCCTGAGATATTTTGATTGCTAAGTAATCCACAATAAGGCAATCTTCCTACAACGCGATTAATTAGTACCGTGTTATAAGAAACCGCGTTATAGGTGGATTTACTTCATTCTTTATTTTCATTACTTTAATACAAACAATGAATATAAACGAATGATTGAAAATAGCGACTAATTAATGTATCAAGATGTTTCTTTATGTTTATTTTCTGCAGAAATAAAGAAGAAATCGTTCGTGGAAAAAATGCGAGTTTGCATTTTTGCAAAGGGGATTACGTGCAGTTTGCTTCGTATTTAGATCCCAAGTGGAATGAAATAGTTTAGAAAGTTTGCGGTAAACAAAAGTAATGTTCAAGCCGATCGACAAATAAATAAACAAACAAAATAGCGTCAACAATTTTGCTTTACACTCGAAGCTCACTTTTTGTTCGCACAAAATACAACATATGAATATAAAATTGCATAACAAAAACTTCTTCACAATTTAAACAATTTAATCTTAAATACTTGCTGATATTAAAAAAAATGTTAAAGAAAAGTTGTAGAAATAACACCTATAAATTATTAAAAACTAAATGTAAAATTATACAAATGATGAAGAATGTTTTTTTTTTGTTAAGATTGAGGAATTAGTTTATAAACAAAGTGATTAATTAGCATTTTTTGGGAAAGGCAAGGACTTAAATGACATTCTAAATTGGAATTGCGAAAAGAGTTTGATTAAACTAACATTTATTTTACGAAATATTATGTAATTCTTTTGTAGTTTTATGCATTTGGTTGTGTAATTGGTTTATGAGAGATGCATGCAGTTTGCAATTGCGTTTGATTGGTGAAAATATGGATTAAAAAACTTAATCGTTGGAGATTTGGAGCGTGTTAGAAAATGGAACGGCTAATAAATATGCATGAAAAAAAATATGTTTTCAATAATAATTTCATAACTGCGCGCGCTAGTGAACTGGGTCGAACGAATGGTGAATTGTGAAAAGATGTTCTGTTTGCTGTTACGGAATGTCTTCGGCTCATCGTTTGAAGTACAAGATTACAATTTGAGAAGAAGAATCGAAGGATGCTCGACTATAAACAGATGTAAATCGCTGTTGCCGTTACGAAACTGGTGCGGTTTCCTCCGCAACCTTGAAAACACTTACGTGATCTCTCGATCTGCGAGAAGAGGAGTCCCAGAACTTAAAGAAAAGGTCAAATCTTAATTAACACATCAAGAAGAAAAAGGAGCAGCGATTTTATTACTAGGAATTAATTGTTCATTAGGAGTGGATGATTTAGACTAAGGTTGTTCAGTCTCGACATTTTTTTGATTCCTGGGATACGAGACAACTGTTTAAAGCATTCCCGGGAATTCTCGGGACTCGAAAAATTAAAAAAAGTTGTTTCATTCAACAAATGATGATTTTTAAATATTTTTTATGTCATTTTCTAAATTCTTGGAGTCTCGAACCCTGTATATTGTTCCAAAATTCCCGGGATATTTTAATCAAGAATTCCCGGTTCGGCGACACTAATTAACCAATTAACAAATAAAATGCAATAAAAGATATCTGTAATAATACGTGGTTACATAATAGTCTATTTTTCTTAGCTAATGATTCGTCTTCTGCAAATAAATAAAGAAATGAATTATATAACATCCACCGTTTACTTTCGATGCATCGCACTTTCACGTGCGGACGGAATCCTCCGACTTCATGCAGAATCCTGTATTAATCTTCATCCAAATGCAATTGCGCAACGAATGAAGTAACTCCAAATTGTATCGATCAATCACATTCAGTTTCCAGCAAATTTAACTATACAGCAATTTATTTCTAACGAGAACAATAATATCGCAATGAGATTTTAAATGAGAATGAGGTATGAATCGTGCATTTAATATTTTCATATAACCAAATGCATTTGGATTATTTATAAATAAACTGGAGAGTTATATAATTTTTGCGACGTGTGGGTTCAGTTACACGAGCGTTGCGTAATTGCAAAAGCTAAAATTAATATATGTTGTAGTGTAGTTTCCATTGGATTTGAGTGAAAAACGAATTTTATATTTTGCGAAAACACTTTCACCGCGCTCCGCCGTTCCATTTCGCATATATTAAATGTCGTTCCAAATTACTTAACTTATCTAATACCAGAAAATAAAGAACAATTTGCATTTAAATAATTTAAAAAATATACAGTAATTAATTGATACAAGATTGAAAGGCCTTTTAAAAGTGTGTTTTCTAGTATTACAGTAAAATTTCATAACTTATACAATACGGCAAATAACATCTCAGTCAATTGGGTCGTAGGATAACATATACATAGAGCATCTATCGAAAAAATAATATGATTTTTAGGAAGTACCAATCTTCAGACGAGGCCTGTCAAAATTTCATGATAATCTGACGTTTAGTTCACAAGTTACAATTGATTTAGTGACGCTACTTTTTGAATTATCAAAACAATGGAAAAATCTGAAATTCATTACTTTTTGATGGGAAAAAATTTCGTTGAAGCAAAGCAATGACTTGCAAAGTGTTATGGGGACTCTTCACCGTCGAGACAAATGGTAGATACGTGGTTTGATGATTTTAAACGCGGTCGTACAGACACAAATGATGTCCAGATTGGGCAATTGTTGCAGAAAACATTAAAAAAAGTCCACAAAATGGTTTTGGCCGATCGTAAATTGATGTTGCGTGATATAGCTAATACCTTGAAGATATCAGAAGGTGATGTATTCACCATTTAGCATGAACAGTTGATCATGAGAAAGCATGTTCGAAATGGGTCAAATTGAACCAAATACAACAACGAGTTGATGATTCCGAACGCTGTTTGGAGCTGTTCAAGCGAAATAAAAAGGATTTTTTTCATGCGGTTTCTAACAATGGATGAAAAGTGGATCCACCACTATACTCAAGCAAAGGGTGAAGGCCGTATTTTGAGGCCAAAGGTAGAACCATTCTACAAGAAAGGTATCGAAATGTTAGAGTATGAATGTGTCAATCTTGAAAGAGACTATGTTCGTGAATCTAGTAGAATATTGCCCAAAAGTTGTTGTTTTATTGGTCATGCATTACAACTATTTTTAGCAGATTTGAAGACTTTTAAATTTATGTCTGAAAGTAATACAGTAAAATTACAAAACTTAGTTTTTAAAACTATGTATGAAAGTAAAATAATAAAATTACATAAGTTAGCTAATTAACATTTAATAAATTTACAAATATACAGCAATTATTTATAGCAAATTCGAAGTCTTTTAACAGAATCTAGAGTAAGATTACATAAAATTTAATAATTAAATAAAAATACAACAATTATTGATGATAGATTCAAAATCTTTTCAAAATGTGATGCAATTTACTGTATTAATTGCAAACACACAATTACATAACTTATCAAAATATAATAAATTTTAACAAAATATACTGCAAAATGAAGAACAATTAAAATATAATCAATTTAAAAGAAAAATTGATAAATGTATCCAATACGAAAAAATAAAAATAAAAGTACTTAAAAATTTAAACAAATAATTTTAGTATTAATAATTCACCAGTCTTTTGAACTTATTAATAGAATGTTTACTATTACATTATTATTTTAAAACTATGTAATTTGATGGAACCAGACTATTAAAAATAAGTCATAAATTTAATAATTATGATCATCAAAATGCAATAAATTTGTTGACATTTTATGATTTTTACTTTTTAACTACTTTTTGTATAAAGTCTGAGAATTTATTTTTATAATTGAAGGAATTGTCATTTAAGAGATTAAATTAATTGTTTTAATCGTTTCCAATTTGCTTTTGTATGAAAGTTGTTTGTTAAACAATTTTTTTTTTATTTGCACTTTTGTTTACGTTGATTATCATTAATGATCATTAAAAATGTATTTTGAAATTTGGGGAATTCTACTAAAAAAAGATGTTAAATTTATTGGTTCATTAGTTATTTCTAATTTGAAAAACATATTTTAAAGAATTATAAAATTTTCTCCAGAAACTTTGATTTCATTGATAAAAATGCAGATAAATAAGTTATTTTTTGAAAATTTGTTTTCATTCATAATGATAATTTAATATAATATTTAAAAAATTCCATTTAAAAACAAAGTAATTTTCTCAAACTGATTTTCATATTCTACATCAAAAACTAAGAGAAAGTTACATTTCTTTTTCTCGTTTTATTTTTTCATGTATTTAACTTGAAATAATTAAGAATTACTAATTTGTTTTTTACTTAATTATAATTAAAGTTAAAATCATTGTATGCAATCAATTGTTGTATAACTCAGTTAGAATTTGTTTCTTGACTTAAACTTGTTGCAAAATTTATTCCGAAAATAGTATTGAAAATGATTAGAACATTTCCGTTCCATATAAATATCAGACAGATTTCCCACAGAAAGCAAACTGATTTTCATTCCCGATCAAAAAGCGTAATTACAGGCAAACATTTGAAGAGGAAATTGTTTTTTGCCTCGACTTCCTCTTCCACGAATCATAAATCGCATCGAAATGTCTGATATACCTTAAAGCAAATCCATAAAATCCCATTGTTTTAAACTATCTTGTAAATAAATCATATTGTAATAATTGTTTTAATCTGTTTCAGGGATTCTTCTTTCGCTCTACTTTCTCGGACTAACTCTGATGGTCACGTCACTTGAGCCTGGGGTAAATACAGTGAGCTTCATTTCTTAAATCTCTTCATACAAATAAGTTTTTGCAACGCGCTTCTAATTGCATTGTAAACGTTTGCATAGAAAGCCTTTGGTTACAAAATAATAATTGAGACGTCAAACGTACAAAAATTAATAACGTATCCTACTAAGTGACATTAAGAGAATAAAAATATATAAATAAATAAATATACGAAAAAAAAATACGCCGGTTACATGAGCGTATGTAATTCTAACCTTTAACTCGTCGCTTCTACATCTTTCTCTTTTTTTTTCTTTTTCTTCTTTGTGTGCTGTATCCGTGGACAGCTTGCAAACGCACGGGGTATGTGATGTGTTTGGTTTTATGCAAATCGTTGGAATACTAAATTCGAAATGTGGTATTCTTCTTCAAAGATGAAGATATGGGTGTGTGACTGTTTTTGTGTGTCGGTAACGCATTTGATGATGATGACGATGATGATCGGTTTCGTGCACCCAAAAACCAGAGTCAAGGTTCATCGTTGCGCCTTTCCCAGTCGACATTCTCAAATAGCGATCAAGAAAAAAGTGAAATTCTTCACCTATGACTTAAGACTTAGTATATGTCAACGCACTTATTGTATATTCCATAAGATAATTCATACAGTGACAATAAAATAAACTGTTTAAAGTTCATTAATTAGTTATTTCTATTAATTTTAGAATACTTTTTTCATAACAAAATTTAGTAATAATTTTCATAGTTAATAGTAAAAGAAAATTATTTTACTAAATACAACAAAAGTCTTCTAATTATTCTAAGTTATTATAAAAAAATATTCCAGAAAAAATAAAATAATTTTTTAAAAAATCTATCGAAATATAGTTTAGAAATTTTATTAATTAAATTAATTAATTATGAAGAATTGATGGAAAAGCCAAATTATCATGAAAAAATCACCGTTAATCATATTAATTACATCTTTTTTCTCCGAATATTTTATGAAACAGCTTTTTTTATATTCATCAAATATTACTATTTTATTGTTATTTATTGATAATGTATAAATTAATTAATTAAATATGAATATTTTATGTAAAATTACAATAACAAGATGTTATTATTTTATTCTAATTTGTTGAAAATTAATTGATTGAAAAATGAAATTATTTTGAAAAAAAATACAAAAAGTTAATTAGTTATAAAATTTTATTAATTATTTTCGAATATTTTATACAAAATCACATTAATCAAAAGTTGTTATTATTGAATTTTAATTTATTGATAATATAGAAATAAATCAATTAATGGAATAATCAAATTATTATGAAAAAAAAATCATCAAAAGATAATTAATTATGAAATTATTTTAATTAAACTTTTTCAGACATTTTATGCAAAATCACAGTAACAAATTGTTTTTATTTTATTAATTCATTGATAATGTACGAATAAATCAATTAATGAAAAATTATTTTGAAAAAATTCCAAAAATTAATTAAATATGAAATTTTAATAATTAAACTTTTTTCGAATATTTTATGCAAAATCACAGTAACAAATTGTTATTCTTTTATTGCAATTAATTGATAATGCACAAATAAATTAATTGATTGAAAAATGTAATAATTTTAAAAAATCACCAAAATTTAATTAATTATGTCATTTAATTAATTACATTTTTATGGAATATTTTATGCAAAATCACACTAATAAGTTGTTATTATATTATTTTGGATTTATTGACAATGTACAAATAAATCAATTAATGGAAAAATGTAATTATTTGGAATAAAAACACCAAAAGTTAATTAAATATGAAATTCTATTAATTAAACTTTGTTCGAATATTTTATACAAAATGACAGTAACAATATGTTATTATTTTGTTCTTATTTATTAGTAATGTACGAATGAATTAATTAATGAAATAATCAAATTATTTTGAAAAAGTCAGCAAAACTTAATTAATTATGAAATCCTACTATTACACTTTTTTCGAACAATTTATGCAAAAACACAGTAACAAGATGTTATTATTTTATTGTAATTTATTTATAATGTACAAATAAATCAATTAATGGATAATAAAATTATGTTGAAAAAATTACAGTAAGTTAATAAATTATGAAATTCAATTTTATTTATTTTTTTGAATATTTTATGAAAAGGCATTTATTATATATTCAACAAGATGTTACTATTATATTCTAATAAAGGGTGTCCCAAAATTAACGCAAGATTTGAATTTGGCGCCTGTTGTGCAGTATGATTCAATAAAAAAAATCACAATCTGAAGACTAAAAACTGTATTTTCTATTTATTTCAAATCTTTCGTTAATTTTGGGACACCTTTTATAATGATAATGTACAAATAAATCAATCATAGGGAAAATATAATTTTTTAATGAACTTTAAAAAAAAAAAGATTTTTCTATGATAATTTAATTATCGGATTATTTTATATATTTGATTCAATTTGTAATTATTATTTTGATTTTAAACAAATATTTCATAAGATAATTAAATCAATCAGAATAAAAGCTAACTTTCTTTAAAAAAGTATATTGAATGTTAATAAATAGTAACAATTTTGTAAAATCTGGTATGTTACATATTATAAGTTTGTGAAAAGATATTAGTAATTCTCAAATAACTAATTATTAAATAATATTAATTACATGGATTAAAATTTTCGAATTATTACTTAAGATAATCCAACAAAATATTCAATAAATTAATGGTTTAAGTCAATTTTATTTAAAAAAAAATAACTTATTAAATTCCACAAGTATTAAATTGACAAGAAGAAGTCTATTATAAGTAATTAAATTCAAATAATTATATGTTTATAAATATAACATGAAGAAATTAATTAAATTAATGCTGGTAATTTAATTAACAATCAATTCGTTATAATTTTGTGGAAATTCTCCAAAAAAAAAAGGTTTAACTTTAGTTTATTGTTTTTTTTTTCAGATTTTTCATATTACTAAATAAATAATTAAAAAAATCTTAGTAATTTCATTAATAATCAACTGATTCTTGTTGAAAATTATTTCATTCTATTAATTACAAGTTTTTGCATACTATTTGAATAAATAATTAGTAGAAGAACTCTTTAATTTCATGAATAATTAATTGATTCCTATAGAAAATCTTTATTTTTCTGCGTGAACGATAGAAATTTCCGCATTTGCTCAATGAATATTTTCACACTTTCAAAACAAAGCGAACGATGCAAAATGAAAGCATAACAAGAGCGAAATACGAGTTCTCGCATTTGCTGCACGAATTACGTAATGCTTACCATTACATGTATGTGTATGCATTTGCGGAGATAATGAAATCGGCGGTAATTTGTAATATCGATCGATTTCAGAAAATGCACGAAGTGAAATTGTTGCGTAAACGCGCGATAAGAGTTCAGCCAAATGGTAATTATCTGATGTTAATCATTTGTGATATGCAAAACACAAATAGAAGGAGAAATGTTGCAGTTGCTTTTTTCCTGCTGCTTCCTGCGATGTTAAATACAAGAAAAAAGGTTACGATGATGAAGCTGATATGCATTGAAGAATGGTGCGAACGGTTTTATATATATATAAAAAAATGATTCATTGCGCGAAATTGCGCAAACTGGAATTTGCACAATCGATGTTCGATTCGATAATCCTCCACAAAATCGCGTTGCATCTCATTTCGGGTTTGGTAACGCCTGAATCACCGCATCTTAGATGTATGGCCATGATGACACTCTCATTGTTTTGTAACAGACGATGATCCGTGAACGGAAACCTCTCCTCCTTCTCCTCGTCTTGATTCACCAACAATAACAACAACTCACGAGGAATTCTGAAAATTGCAGGAAGAAATCGAAAAGTTTCGCAAAAACCTCGGTCTCTAGGTTGATACGCTCTAATTGCACGCGATTTCTTCAAAATAAAATAAATTATGTTGATTTTGCGAGTTTCAGGTTACATTTTTTTTTTCTTCCTTTAATTGGATACGTGAAAACTTTGAAAAGTATTTGGTATTTACCTTTCTAAATGTCTCGTTACCAGCTGTAGTCGAGGAAGTCGTTAATTTTACTTTAGCCTATTTAGTTTTAAGTGTATGCGGTTTATTATTTAAGTTGAGTTTGGCTAATGTTGCGTTCGATGTTGCAGTTCTTGGATTTCGATAATTTGCCAGACACGAATTTCACGTGCGTCGGTAAAGTCATCGGCGGATACTATGCCGATCTGGAGACGTCTTGCCAAATGTTCCACGTTTGTACAATTGGTCAAATGGATGAGCCCATGGACATCAGATTCCTGTGCCTCAACGGAACTGTTTTCGATCAGGTAAAGTAAATGAGATTATAGCAAATTTCATCTTTTTAACCTTCGATATTTTGGTTTTCAGGAAACTCGTGTCTGCGAAAGGATCGACGAGGTGGATTGCTCGAAATCGGAGCAATTTTATAGTTTGAATTTGGAACTTTATGGTAATACACAGCCACCAATACTAGAAGGTAAATAGTTTCGATGCGTTTGAATCTTATTGACTGATATTGCATTTTAGATTCACCCGACACTGAGCCTCCTGATATTTATAAGCAGTCCTCGACGACGACGACCACAACCACCCCAAGACCCACGAAACCGAAGACGACTAGACCCAATTTCATCATCACCACAACGAATAGACCTCCGGTGACAACGCTTACAGAGAAAATCCTCAACTTCCAGGGTTCAAATTCTGCAGATATCCGCTTCAATCCTGAGGAGATCAACATTAGCTTGAATCCTGGTGCACCGCCGAGCATCAGGCCAAAACCCATCTCGTTCCAGCAGCAATCTTTCAGCGACACCAACAAACGGGTTATAGTTACAACGCACACGACCGTTTACAAGACAGAAGCTGATACGCAGAAGATATCGACGACGCAAAAACCCAAAGAGCTGGAGGATAGTCAGGAAGATACTGAGAACTATTACAATACAGAAACTGAATCATATCAATTCCATCCCAACTTCCGACCGTCTCACGATTTACAAGGCTTTTCTTCCCCGAAGAACGATTATAAATCTAGCACGTTTAGATCTCTCTATCAAACTACAACTGACGATTCTCTTAAGTTGAGTTATAATCAAAGGGGTCCTACGACCTACAGGAACCATCCTTTCAACTCGCCGGTGAAGCCATCTCCTTCGTATTACCACCAAACCGATAAACCGCCAAGGATACAACTACCTCTACCACTACCACTCATACCGACTATATCTCCTTTAACTTTTAGTTCTCCGGCGCCGTTCTCGCTTAACAGACACGTAGAAACGAAGAGATTCACGGACCATCATCAACCGCCTAGGATTGTTATCAGTGCGAGCGCCAGCGTTAGCGATGCAAGCGGAAGGAAATTCAATTATAGTTTAGGCACGATCGGAGATTCAAAGTTTTTCGGACAACCACCACCCTCGTACGATGAGTACAAAGAGGATGATGTCGGGTTGGATCCCTTCTACCACGACGTGCCTAAATTAGGGCGCAGAAAGCGTCATTACTTGAGAGTTAGAAGGAATAAGCGTAGTTTAGAGAGCAAAGAGAAGCACAAAGTTAAGCTTCCAGAGATCAACGGCGAACAGGACGCCATCGAAGTTATCAGATTCTTGTACAACTGGTATAATGAGCACAATAAAACATCGAAAGCTCTGATTTCTTTCCCGATCAATCCGGATACTATCACCGAGATCAACGATGAATTAACACCAAGAACAGACGATTATCTTTACGAGAACTCTGAATATAACTACGAAGTGGCTAAGAACAGCATTCCACAAACTTTGCAAGAATTGAAACCTCCAGAATTGAAAAACGATAGTGTTAAAGAAAACAATGAAGGAACTACCGTATCCGAAGATTATGATTTAACTTCATCAGGGGAATCAACTAAAAATTACGAAATTTTAGATGTGAAATCCCGGAAAATAAAACAGCCACCACGACTGAGTATTACACGGAACTTTACGATTACGTCGATGATAATTACGAAGCGAAGACGGGAGATTATGAGTATAATGATAAAACGGTTCACGATAAAGTTGATGACGTTAATTATCAGGTTTTGGATGGGGAAGTGTCGAAGCTCAATGATTACGTGGACGATAATTACGAGGGTTACAATTCTACAGCAGTGAATGAGACGAAAAAGTATGAAGAGGTTCTTCATATTTTAGGTATAACCACTAATAAACCTAACTTGACCACGGAGTCTCCGCAAAACGTTACAGATTACGAGGAGTATTATGATGAAGAGGAGACTACTACTGCTGAGCCTGTGACTCAGACTGAAGAAATCGATGTTGGTACCACGATGTTCCCATCGACTGTTGATGTTCCTAAAGATGAAAGCACTGAGTCCGTGGAGTCGACCACGACGATCGTAGATAACACTCTCGACAAAGAAGATGTGGAGACTACGACTTATCCGGATGTTTATACGACAGTTAATAATATTATTATTCCACGGTGCAGCTGCAGAAGTTCATCTTGGATGTTGAAACCACAACGAATAGTATTTCAGAGATAAATCCCACTACAACACCCGTTACTGAAACCATTACAACTACTGTTTTTACTCCGGAAGAGGAAACTACTACTCCGGTTATAACAACAACTGAAGAACCTACAACATTAAATCCTTACACGTATTTGACTACTACCACTGAGGTTATACCAGAAACATCTACGGAAAGTTTAACAACGACTAAGCGAAGGCAATTGTACCAGAGGAACCACAGATTTGGGACTTACGGAAACAAGAAGAGGAAGCCGTCGATCACGGAGGAAATCGTGGATGTGATAAAGAATAAGATGGACAATGTGGAAGATTCGAAGGTAGATTTAGGTAGGAAAAAGATAGAGTTTAATATAAACGCGTACACCGCCAATCTGGCGTATCGGAACAAGAACGGCGAAGAAGATGAAGCTTCCGTGACGGATGCGTCCTTCGCCCGAAGTGCCAATCCGACTGTCTCGAAGCAGTCGAAAGACTACCTTGTCACGACACCGTTAACGAAATCCGGCAAAGATTTCAAGTTCAATTGCTTCAACAAACCCATCGACCGATTCTACTCGGACCCAAGAGACTGCAGACTGTTCCATTACTGCACGCAAGGCTACACCAAGACGCAGCTGCTGGACATGAAGTTCGTTTGTGATTTAGGTACATTCTTCGATCAAGAGAAACTCATTTGCACGAAAACCAAGCCATCCAGGTGTACGTAACTCCCGTGTGTTTGTTTGTTCATTAACTTCTCGGAACTCGCCCTCGGCCCTTGACCCAATAACAACAATAATAAAGAAAAGACATTTCCCAAAAATTAAGAAAGAAAAAACCGAAGAGAAAGAAAAACGTTTACAGTAGGCGTGTGTATAATAATTGTATAGCTACTCCTAAAGACCGATCGCAACTGTAAAACCGTTTTTCTTCTTCATACTTGATACCTGACCTTAATAAGGAAACATAATTAAATATACATAATTATATTTATCATTGAGGTATCAAACAACAAAAAGGATAAAAGGAGGACAAAGTCACTACCATAGAACATCATTCCGTTTGTTTCTCTTGTCTAGCTGCAATTTATACACGTTCACATATCATTTTCCTAGGTAGTAGCGAACCTCCCGTACAATATTAACATGCATTAACATCATGAAATACAACTGAAATTAAATCATTGCTATAGAGCGTTTCATTAAACAACGATTTAATTTGTACAAAGCCAATCGATTAATTATTTAATCTACACTTAAGTTAGATAAATATTCCAGTAACATAAAGTTAATTAACAATCCCTAAAAAATATTGAATAATGATTAATCTAAATCATTTTATTTGAAAGAAACTTTAATTCATAATTATATTTACATTGAGGTGTCGAACAACAAAAGGAGGACAAAGTCACTACCGTAGTATCATGGTTTCGTTTGTTTGTCTTGTGTGACATGGCCTGGCTTGTAAATCATACATGAGTGTATTATCTTCACATTTTTTTCCTAGGTAGTAGCGGCCCTCCCGTACAATATTAACCTACATTACCATCATGAACTACAACGGAAATTAAATTATTGCTACAGAGCGTTTCATTAAAATACGATTTAATTATCACAAAGCCAATCAATTAATTATTTAATCTACACTTTAGATAGATAAATATTCTACTAACATAAAATTAATTACTAATCCATAAAAAATATTAAATAATGATAAATCTAAAGCATTAAATTTAAAAGAGACTTTAATTCATAATTATATTTATCATTGAGGTATCAAACAACCAAAGGACAAAAGGAGGACAAAGTCACTACCATAGAACATCGTTCCGTTTGTTTCTCTTGTCTGGCTTGCAATTTATACACGTTCACATATCATTTTCCTAGGTAGTAGCGGACCTCCCGTACAATATTAACATGCATTACCATCATGAACTATAACTCTAATTAAATTATTGCAACAGAGCGTTTTATTAAAATACGATTTAATTATCACAAAGCCAAACGATTAATTATTTAATCTACACTTAAGTTAGATAAATATTCCAGTAACATAAAGTTAATTACCAATCCCTAAAAAATATTGAATAATGATTAATCTAAAGCATTTTATTTGAAAGAAACTTTAATTCATAATTATATTTACATTGAGGTGTCGAACAACAAAAGGAGGACAAAGTCACTACCGTAGTATCAGGGTTTCATTTGTTTGTCTTGTGTGACATGGCTTGGCTTGTAAATCATACATGAGTGTATTATCTTCACTTTTTTTTCCTAGGTAGTAGCGGCCCTCCCGTACAATACTAACGTACATTACCATCATGAACTACAACGGAAATTAAATTATTGCTACAGAGCGTTTCATTAAAATACGATTTAATTATCACAAAGCCAATCAATTAATTATTTAATCTACACTTTAGATAGATAAATATTCTACTAACATAAAATTAATTACTAATCCATAAAAAATATTAAATAATGATAAATCTAAAGCATTAAATTTAAAAGAGACTTTAATTCATAATTATATTTATCATTGAGGTATCAAACAACCAAAGGACAAAAGGAGGACAAAGTCACTACCATAGAACATCGTTCCGTTTGTTTCTCTTGTCTGGCTTGCAATTTATACACGTTCACATATCATTTTCCTAGGTAGTAGCGGACCTCCCGTACTGTATTAACATACATTACCATCATGAACTATAACTGAAATTAAATTATTGCAACAGAGCGTTTTATTAAAATACGATTTCATTGTCACAAAGCCAATCAATTAATTATTTAATCTACACTTTAGATAGTTAAATATTCTACTAACATAAAATTAATTACCAATCCTTAAAAAATATTGAATAATGATTAATCTAAAGCATTTTATTTGAAAGAAACTTTAATTCATAATTTTATTTGTCATTGAGGTATCAAACAACCAAAGGACAAAAGGAAGACAAAGTCACTACCATAGAACTTCGTTCCGTTTGTTTCTCTTGTCTGGCTTGCAATTTATACACGTTCACATATCATTTTCCTAGGTAGTAGCGGACCTCCCGTACAATATTAATATGCATTACCATCATGAACTATAACTGAAATTAAATTATTGCAACAGAGCGTTTCATTAAACTACAATTTAATTTGTACAAAGCCAATCGATTCATTATTTAATCTACACTTTAGATAACTAAATATTCCAGTAACATAAAATTAATAGATAATACAAAAAAAAGATAAATCTAAAGCAGTTTATTTAAAAAAAAGACTATATTATGAAATAATATCAGTATTATAATAATAATAATATACAATGAACAACAGAATAATAAGGGAAAATATATATATAGAGTTGTAGTTTCTTTTTTAATAATCAAAGGATGAAAGATGGAAGGGAGTAGTTGTAAGGTGTTATTTTGATTTTGGGGGAGTTCTGAATAACCGTGGAGGACATAAGTGAATGGAATTTGCAGATGATTTCTGGAGATGGATCTGGATTTTGGAAAATGAAGGAGAGAAGACTGGAGTTAACAATGGTTTCGAAAAACAGGGAACAGGAAATGTTTTTTTTAATTATATAGGATTTAATAAGGTGGGATTTAGGCTGAAAAGAACTTATATTGGAATATAAGATACGGAAGCTGCTATCCATTCAAGGAAATTGATTTTGAGGTGCCCTGAGTAGATAATGTGGGCGACTCATGACCTGGGTTATCCTGGTCGAACATAAAAATATACAAATAGTTTTCATAGGTATCCACGTGGAAGTCATTCACAAATCGTTTTTTTAGCTTCTGAACCAGTGCAGCACGGTCCGAATACTTGGGATTATTGACTTTATTCGTAAAGGTATTAATTGGGAATAAAGTCATGGATTGTTAACGCCCCGTGGATTCTGCTATCCTTGGATATGGCTTTGGGGATTTCTGCTGTTTTCTTATTTGTGGGTTTGATTTTAGCGTTTGCGATAACAGGAATAGGTTGTGTGGGTCTCTTTGGACACTTCATGGACCAAGCCGCATGGTCCTCCGAATTGCATGCCACACACTTCGGCAGCAATGGCGAAGAGCATATGTGTGTCGGATGCGGTTCCTGAACTGAAATTAAATTATTGCAACAGAGCGTTTCATTAAAATATGATTTAATTTGTATAAAGCCAAACGATTAATTATTGAATCTACACTTTAAATAGATAAATATTCCAGTAACATAAAATTAATGGATAATACAAAATAATATTGAATAATGATAAATCTAAATCATTTTATTTAAAAAATACTTTAATTCATATTTATATTTACATTGAGGTATAAAACAACAAAAGGAGGACAAAGTCACTACCATAGTATCATGGTTTCGTTTGTTTGTCTTGTGTGGCTTGTAAATCATACTTGAGGTTTTACATTTTTTTTTCCTAGGTAGTAGCGGACCTCCCGTACTACATTAACTTTCATTACCATCATAACCTACAAGAGAAATTAAAACATTGCAATAGAGCGTTTCATTAAAATACAATTTAATTTGTACAAAGCCAAACGATTAATTATTTAATCTACACTTAAGTTAGATAAATATTCCAGTAACATAAAATTAATTATAAATCCCTAAAAAATATTGAATAATGATTAATGTAAAGCATTTTATTTGAAAGAGACTTTAATTCATACTTATATTTATCATATAGAGGTATTACTAACAACAAAAGGAGGACAAAGTCACTACCATAGTATCAGGGTTTTGTTTGTTTATCTTGTTTGGTTTGTAAATCATACTTGAGGTGTATTATCTTCACATGTTTTTTCCTAGGTAGTATCGGACCTCCCGTATAATAAAAAGCTGACATAACCATCATAACCTACAACTGAAATAAAATCATTGCTATAGAGCGTTTCATTAAAATACGATTTAATTTGTACAAAGCCAATAAATTAATTATTTAATCTACACTTAAGTTAGATAAATATTCCAGTAACATAAAATCAATAGATAATCCTTAAAAAATATTAAATACAACTGAAATTAAATTATTGCAACAGAGCGTTTCATTAAAATACGATTTAATTATTACAAAGCCAATCGATTAATTATTTAATCTACACTTTAGATAGATAAATATTCTACTAACATAAAATTAATTACTAATCCATAAAAAATATTAAATAATGATAAATCTAAAGCATTTTTATTTAAAAGAGACTTTAATTCATAATTATATTTATCAGATTGAGGTATCAAAAAACAAAAGGAGGACAAAGTCACTACCATAGTACATCGTTCCGTTTGTTTGTCTTGTCTGGCTTGCAATTTATACATGTTCACATATCGTTTTCCTAGGTAGTAGCGGACCTCCCGTACAATATTGACGTGCATTACCATCATGAACTACAACTGAAATTAAATCATTGCAACAGAGCGTTTCATTAAAATACCATTTAAAAATTACAAAGCCAATTGATTAATTATTTAATCTACACTTTAGATAGATAAATATTCTAGTAACATAGATAATCCCTAAAAAATATTAAATATTGATAAATGTAAAGCATTTTATTTATAAGAGACTTTAATTTATAATTATATTTATCATATTGAGGTATTACAAACAACAAAAGCAGGACAAAGTCACTACCATAATATCAATTTTTTTGCTTGGAAATCTCGTTTGTTTGCCTGCTTTTAAATCCCACTTTTTCCTAGGTAGTTTCGGACCTCCCGTACAATAAAATGCTTAAATTACCGCCATAACCTACAACTGAAATAAAATCATTTAATAGAATGTTTCATTAATATACGATTTATTTATTACAAAGCCAATCGATTATTTATTTAATCTACATTTTAAATAGATAAATATTCCAGTAACATAAAATTAATAGATAATCCTTGAAAATATTAAATTATGATAAAAATAAAGCATTAAAATTTACTATTGTGATTTCTACAAATGTCTGCAACCAGATTAACTTATATGGGTACTTCTTTTATATACCGTCAAATGTGATCAATATTTTCGTACGTTTAGTATATGCTACACATGATACAAGAACAGATATTTTTATGTTACATAAATGTAGCAAAACTTAAAAATATTAAGTTTTTTTAATGAAAAAGGAAACATAGAATGTTGTAAATTGAATTTAATTAATTAATTGGATAACTAAAGGATTTCAATTGGGATAAAAATGAAATAACTCAATGCTTATTCAAGAAACTTATTTATATAATTTAAAATAAAATCATCACACACCATAGAACTCCACGTTCATATCTTGCTGCTTCTCTTATGTTTTTACTTAATTCTTCCGTTTAAATATTTCATACATTTTTTTTTATACAATTTTCGTTCATAATCGATTGTGTGGAATATTCCACTTGAAAATACAGAAGTATACATATATACAAAAAAAAAATAGAAAATAAAATAGAGACAGATTGATTTTATCGTTACACAACAGAGGCAATTTAAATAAGGTGACCGAAGGGAATCGAAGGCGGCTGACAAAATAAAAAACAAAATACTGGTCATACAAGTAAGATTAAATTAAATTACGTAATAATAATAAAATAATACATATTTAAAATTATAATAATAAAATAAAACAGTTCACAACAAAACAAGGGAATTAGGATATTGCAAAACTATTTGCTTGTAATTTCATCCTTTTTTCTAGCTGTATATATAAATGTAAGTGGTAAACTTAAAAGGCACATATATCTTTTTTTTTATCATTTCGGCGTGTTGTTGTTTTGTTTTAGCCCGATGCTTACTTTTCTTTTTTTTTTGTTTAATTTTGTTAACGAACTATTTCGTTGTCGTCTTCTTGAAGTCCGTGTCGATGTCGTATTCGTGCTCTCCTCCACCCACGTTGCTGTCGTAATAAGCGTAATCGTAGCTGACGTTCTTCTCGGATTTCGGTTTTTGCTCTTTAATCTCTGGTTTCTTTTCGATCGGTTTCGGCGCTGTTTTCGTGGTCTTCGGATACTCGGTGACTCTTGGAGTGTTTGCGTTGGTGGAGAACGGTCTTGGGGATTCGCTGTAGAATGGCTTCTGGGTGGTTGTCGCAACTGTTGTCTTCTGCGCGTTCTTGATGTACTCGTTTCTGCTGCTCGCAATGTTCTGGCTGTGAGCTGTCTTCAAGAACTCGTCTTCTTTGTTAGAGTTGTTCTCATCGTTATCGTATTTCGAGCTGTACGATCCATCGTCGTATTGGGTCTCATCGAAACGATTCGATCTGCTTATTGGAGTTGTCGAGCTCACTTTAGGTACGGTTGGGGTGTATTGGGTGTGAGTGGTAGATTTCGGAGTGCTCGATTGTTGGGTGTACTGTGTTGTTTGTTTCTGGCTATTGAATTGATTGGCGAAGGGACGATTGTGACCAGGAGCAGCTGGAGTATTGAATTGGTTGTTATTATTCGTAAATTGCGTGCTTTGAGCTTGAGGAGTCGTCTGTTTGGTGTTTATTTTAGAAAAGTCTTGCTGCTTATTGAATTGCGTGGATTGAGTGTAAGCGAAGCTATTTGTTTTCGGGGCAAATGTGGTAGGACCTTGGATGTCCTTAGGGTAATTCTCAGTTTGCTTTGATGGTTTCACTTTGGGAATGTCGTAATGGGTATCAGGACTGGAATTCTGAGCTACTGGAGTTGTTGGAAAGCTTTGCTTAGCAGATTGCGGTTGGACTTTGAAAGGAGAAGGTTTCTGTTGTGTGGTGGAGAAACTTTGCTTGTTGAAGCTTGGTGGGTAATTTTCAGTTTCGGCAGTTTTTGGAGCAGAAGTGGTTGGATTTCTATTATACTGTTGGGTCTGTCGGAAAGGTGCAGGTGTGCTAGCAGCGAAGCTTGTAGAAGGATTCTGTTGCGGAGTTTGCCTGAAGTTGTCGGCATCGTTGTACTGTTGCCTGTTGGGATTTGGACGACGTTGGCTGTTCCTCGCACGGAAATTGTTGATGGCCGTCGTGTATTGTTCGGCATTGATATTGTTTGTGGTGGAAGTTGGACGAGATGTTGTTGGAATGTAACTGCTTCCTGCAAAGTTATTGGCAAAACCAGTTGGACGACTCGGTCTCGATGTTTGACTATCAAAGTTTTGCTGAGGTCTCTGATTTCTTTGTTGCTGCTGTTGTTGTACTTGTGGTCTTGTCTGTTGTTGACGCTGTTGTTGCTTAGGGTAATTTTCCTGTGGTTGAGGCTTCTGCGTTTGAGACTTCTGGAAATCCTGCTGCTGTTGACGCTGTTGCTGCCTGGAATAGTTCTCTTGTTGTTGAGGTCTCTGCGTTTGCGTTTTCTGGAAATCCTGTTGCTGTTGTTTAGGGTAATTCTCCTGTTGTTGCGGTCTTTGAGTTTGCGTTTTCTGGTAATCCTGTTGTTTAGGATAATTCTCTTGCTGTTGAGGTCTTTGAGTTTGAGTTTTTTGGAAATCCTGTTGCTGCTGAGGTCTTTGCGTTTGCGCCTTCTGGTAATCCTGTTGCTGTTGAGGTCTCTGCGTTTGAGCCTTCTGGTAATCTTGTTGCTGTTGAGGTCTTTGCGTCTGAGTCTTCTGGTAATCCTGTTGTTGCTGAGGTCTTTGCGTTTGCGCCTTCTGGTAATCCTGTTGTTGCTGAGGCCTCTGCGTTTGCGACTTCTGATAATCCTGTTGCTGTTGAGGTCTCTGCGTTTGCGCCTTCTGGAAATCTTGCTCTTGAGGTCTCCTGTTCTGCTTCCTGATTAACTTCCTCTTCTGCACGTTATCCCTGTTCTGATTCGCGTTCACGTTACCATCATCTTCATCTTCGTCCAGCTCCTTGCCGCCGTTCCTGTTATTGAAGAAGTTCGAGCTGCTCGAAGTCTTGAAGATATCTCTGTCGCTGCCACCGCTATTGAACTTCCTGTTACTGAAGTCCTTCTGCTGGTTGACCCTTTGCGCCTGATGCTCCCTGCTTAATCTCGCATCTCCGGTCTCTGCCCTTTGCAACGAGAAAGTCTCCTCGTCTTCACCGTACTTGACAGCCTTGGATTCGTAACCTGCGGATCGTATCATATCGTAGACATCATCATCATCAACATCGTTGCAATCAATCTAATATGAAGTGAAAGTGACTTACCTGAGCCGAGGCGGTAAAGGTCGAAGTTGTCACTGGCGTAGTACAAAGTTGTTGCATCGCAATCCACGTCGTCCCATTCGGCGCAGATCTGATGGTCTTGGTCGAACGCCGTCCCATTTGGACACAGAAAACGGAAATCTTGCACCTGAGGAGAACGTGATAATTGAGGATGTGCCACCATATAACAACGACCTTCCTCTTCCACCGAAGACGCAACTCATTTTCTCGAAACGAATTCAGACCTTGACTCGAACATTATCCGAGCTACTTCATCTTTTCATCTTTTAGAAAGTGAAGCAGCAAAGTAACGCGCATTTATTCTTAACTATTATACAACACGTTTATAAACAAAAATAGCCTGAAGTATTCGAAACTATTTTCTTGCATGTAATGATAATTATCAAAGTGAAGCAGCAAAAAAAACACATACTTATTCTTAACTAGTTATACAACAAAAGTAGCCTCAAGTATCCAAAACTATTACTTTTTTTCTTCCATGTACATTTACAAAGTGAAGCATTTATTTGTAAAATAATTTACCATCGCGTTTTTCGCAATCGGTGCCAATTCGAGAATTACCTTATTACGATTTCCAAGGCGTACAATAATAAATAAATCACGGTAATTTCGCAAAGTGATTACGTAAATGATTGCAAAGCCTCAAACCTATCAATTAACCACTTAAATCCGCAATTATCCGACTTAATATATATGCTTGTTTTTGAACACTGAAATCTTGTAATTTATGAATGTTTAGATGGAATTAGTATACTTACACCAACGCCGGACACTTTGACGCAGATATGGAACATTTGGCATTGCGCTTGCGAATCGGCATAGTAACCACCAAGGATCTTATCCCTACATGTAAAATCGGTGTCGGGCATCGACTCCAGACTATACGTAGGGTACGGCCTATTGTTATAAAACTGCGCTGATCCCCATCCTACGGCCAATCCTGAAACATAGAAGATAATTTTCATTAATTTACATATTTGATATTCGAACAACTTTAAACTCGAACAAGAAAATAGGTTTCGAATATCGAACCAAAAGTCTTCCTTTTTACATCATTTTAATTACAAAGAAAAATTAAGCGATGCTATTTAAAGAACTACAAAATGGAATTGTGCAAAATATTGTCTGAAGCAGCGGCTCTCAACCTATGACTTGTGAAATGACAGCTGTCACCTAAATGAAATGACAGCTGTCACCTACGTAGATGAAGCTGTCAACTACGTGAAATGACAGTTGTCACCTACAAGAAATGACAGCTGTCACCTTGAAAAACTATTCGTATTGGAACTACAAACAAATATGTTTGGTCGCTAGAGAAAAATATATTATGCAAATGTTAAATTAGTATTTTAAAATTGTTATAAGGAATTGTGTAAAAAAAAAGTAATTACAAAAGACACAAGAGAATAAAATAAATTGAATATTCTGCAATCTCTACATCCTATAATTGCGTATGTCCAAGTACGAAAATGAGAAAGAAATGCTTATTAACTAAATGCATACTAACGAAATGCCTAGCCTTTCAGTGGAAAGCCTCGACCATCCTTGACACACAATTCGAGAAATATTTATCTTCATGAAAATTGCTTAAAGCGTCGGAACGCCAATAAAACAATGCATTTATTGAAACAATAAAAAAAACTTTAATCCAAAACTCAATTAATCAGAGCATCTAATGCGATGGATTCAGGGCAACGAGTGCAAACTTGCGTGAAATCATTGTCTGTTTTTTTTTGTGTTCATCTTCTTCGTCTCTGCTTATTATTGCAAGCATCGAGAAAGTGAATCTTTGCTCCATTAAAGAAAAAGACGAGTTCTTCAAGTTTTCCATTTCTTTTATTGCAATTTTATTGTAACCTAATTATAAGTGAACTTATCAAAATATTGATTAAATGTACTTAAACTTTATTATTATTGTGACTTTAAGTAATTAAAATAAGATATTTTATTTTTTGGATTGTGCACATTTTTTTTTTTTGGAAACGTTGCAGCTGTTGAATGAAGAATATATGCTCATCATCGGCTCATCAGATTTCTTTTCCACCGAAGAATTTCACCGCGGCCTCATAAGTTTGTAATTGTGGAATTCCGCATAATTTTGAAAGTTACGCGTTGCGTAATCGCGCTCGAAGAAGACGTCTAATTGACATCGAGAAGAACATCCCGAAAGATGAAAGGATTTCCTCTTTGCGCTTATGCAACTGAATACACACACTCACACATTGTCGTTTTTTTGTACTCATTGTTTTTCCACATTAGAAATTATACATACATTCAATTCTAAATTGATGAATTACTTCATTATTTCCTTTTATTGTCATTTTATTACTTGTTACGTATTATCAATATCATCAAAGAAACCACAAATCAAACAAATCATAAATTAATTTTGTTATTATAGTAATTTAAAAACTTTTAATATTAATTATATTTGGTTTTAATTAACTTTAAAATTATTAAAATATTACTAAAAATAAACAAACTCAATACATAATGATTGAAATGTAACAATTCCATTGATATTTATATTTAAATCGTTGCTTTCAAATGATAATTAAAGGTGAGTTTAATTATATTTTTCTATTTAAATATAATTAAAAAAAACTTCTTAATTATTATTATATGAATTCAAACATATTATGTAATCATTAATAACTGATTGTATGAAGAAATATAAATACAACAATACTTCGCATACTTTTGTTAAACGCACTATTTGAAACCAGACTAATCAAAGATTTTAAAACCGCATAAAAAAACTGCACAAAACGAGAGTTGACTGTATAGAAAATAAGTTTGTGTAATACTCTTTTACAATGTTTTTATAATTTGGTTAATTAAAATTTATTTGGTTTTGAAATGTTTTAACCGTATTAATAGAATCCGTACTATACAAGGTTTTCCATATTTCAATGATAAATTACACTAAATTTGTACTTTTCTTATTATCATTAAAGGTAAGTGAGTTTAATGAATTTAGTAGGTTTTGAAATTTTTAAACCGTACTAATAGAAACCGTGCTATACGAGGTTTTCTATATTTTAATGATAAGTTACACTAAATTTGTAGTTTTCTTATGATCACTAAACGTGAGTGACTTTCATGCATTTAATTGGTTTTGAAATTTTTAAACCGTACTGATCGAAGCCGCACTATACAAGGTTTTTCTGTATTCCATTGATATTTATACAACATTTGTAATTTTCATATTATAATAGATAAATGAGTTTCATTAATTTATTTGGTTTTGACATTTTTAAACCGTACTATCAAAGCCGCACTGTACGAGGTGTTGCTGGATTTTATTGATAATTACACTTAATTTGTAGTTTTCATATTATAATTAAAAGTGAGTGACGTTCATGAATTTGGTAGAATTTGAAATGTTTAAACAGGACTAATCGAATCCGCGCTGTACGGGGTTTTTCTGTATTCCATTAATATTTATACCAAATTTGTAATATTCATATTATAATTAAAGGTAAGTGAGTTTCATGAATTTAGTTGGTTTTGAAATTTTTAAACCGTACTGATCGAAGCCGCACTGTGCCAGATATTGCTGTATTTTATTGATAGTTACTACTTAATTTGTAGTTAAGTATTGAATTTAAGTCGATTTATTTTTTTAAATCCGCACTATGCGAGGTTTTGCTGTATTCCATTGATATTTGCACTAAATTTGTAGTGTTTTTATTAAAATTAAATGTGAATTTTGTGGCTTTTAAACATAAACTAATAAAATTTACAAGATTGTTTCCAAAAGAATAATTTGCTCAGAATTGTGGTAATATGTAATAGGTTATTATTAACATGAAATGCTGAAGAAACCTTTCAAAATCTGCATTAAATTACATTCAGCACTTAAACGAATTACGTTTCCTAACATAAGTATAAAAGCAATTTTGAATTTCGTAACACTTTTCCAACATTTTCCTTTCTTAAAACTCAGCAACAACAAAGTATGAATCATTTGATCACTCCATAATTCGCCATCTATTCTTCTCCACGTAATAATTATGCATTGCGAAATCCGTTCGTTACCGTTGCTTTTCCGTTTATGTGTGAGCTTAAGAGATGACTTAAGAGATCGAATATGTGCAGAAATCGTTGTACACGTCAAATGTCAATTGCATCACGACGAAAACCGTGATCACAGCCGGTTGCAACAACAATACACATCTAAATATTTTATGTATCCGAGTAATTAGCGAACTTTTAGTTTTGTTTATTTTCTTCGCAACTTTCCCTATTTATTTTTTATCAATATGCAAACGTTATGCAATTTGCAGACAAACAACGTGAATAAAAATAATAATGATGATGATGATGATGATAATGTAATAGAAGAAGCAAACATAAGTTCTTCTAAGTAATGGAAGGAATTGGAGAGAAAGAGGAGCAGCAATTCGATTGCCCAATGGAGGAAAGTTCGTTAATTTATTGTAAAGAGCGCACGTGAAATACCGACGATGAACCGAGTCGTGTGTGTATGTATGTGTGTGAGAAAATCCGAATAGATTATTGTTATATAACGCGCTTGGAAGTTGTGCACAGCTTTCTTTCACATGCGCATGTGATTAATGCGAACGTGAAACGATTCCGTTGCCAAATCCACGATCTCCCTAATCTTTAGTAATAATACAATTTTAATTACTATACACTCATTTCTTTTAATTAATTAATATTTACAAATCAAATTATGATTCAATAGATTCCCAATTTCCTGTTTAGGTATTAACCGCGTTATGTTAATACGTTATGCGTTGTAAGAAAATGCATTATACAAAATCGTGTTATACGAGTTGTAACACGGATAATTTCAATAACATGTTGTGCATGAAACTTATTAGACCAAAAATATTAATTAACAAGTTTACTGATGCTTTCACCTCTTCATGTGTACTTTGTGAATGGTGAAAATATTAATAATAAATAAAATTGATTGTATTCATTTCTTTTAATTAATTAATTAAAATATTATACAATTTTCTGTAACGCGATTCCATTATGCGTTGTTAACAGTGTTAAGTTAATACGTTTCACATTGTATGAATTTATGTTATAGGAAATCGTGTAATACGAGATAATATAAATAATACTGATAGAGGCACAGACAATCATATTGATACACAAAATAGTAAAAAAAATAAGATCCAGGTAGACCTATCTTTCAGCTGCGACACCCATGATCACAACACGAGGACAAGAAGAAATTAAGGATGGATTTTTTTTAACTAATATAATGAACAGGAGTTTGCTGGTGCAGGGCCTTATACACTGTAACAGGGTTCCAGAGGAAATAAGAAGGGAAAATAACATTGAAAAATTCTAAACAAGAATGATGAGTTACATGGAGAATCACAATTAGAATACATAGAACAACAAAAACCCCAACATACCCGCTCAAAATACCGATTCCAAGGAGCGTACCGAAAGAACCGAATGTAAAAAATGTATATAAATAAAACAAACTACTACATGTTTATTGAAACAAAAATATTATTTTATTTCTTAACTGATGCATTCATTTCTTCATGTATACTTTATGAGTGATAAAAATATTAATAATAAATAAAATTGATTGTATTCATATAAATAAGTAAAGTGAACTTTAACGATTGGAAAAATTTAAACACTTCTTCTATAATGTTAGTTTTGCATATATTAGAATATGAATAATAATATTAATCAATATCTAATTGAAACATACCAAATTACCAATAAATTAAAATTGCAATTGTCTAAATTTTTTAAATTCTAAAAAAAATATTGATAACGAACCCGAACGTTGTCTCATCGATCGTTAAAGTCATTCGCGTATTTTAGATCTCGGCCTATACATTTTATTATATTTGTAGGTATATATGCTCAATAATGTTTTTGTTTCCGTTCAAGTAATAATAAACAAAATTTATTGTATACATATGTTACGGTAAGAGTACATAATCGGTAAATGTATACATTTCCCGGTATATGTGTACATTTGCCGGCTTGGTCGATATACGTAGGTAGATGTAAAAGTAGATATATCACGTTGCTGTCAGATGTATACTTACATTTACCTACAACGTATACATTTACCTGGAAATGTATACATTTACCGTAACACATACAAACTTAAAATTATTTACTTCAATAAATTATTATAACTAAAATTACCAATAGTTCATGTTGATTAACTTCGTAAACTATAGTAATAATAATGAAAGTTGTTCATTTAATAGATTTTACTTTTGTAATTATTCGAAATTATGAATGTTTATATTTAATACAACAATATTTTTATTTGTTTTTGTTTTATCATTCTTTAAAAAGTATTATATAATTAATATTTGAATATTAAAATGATTGTAAAAAGAAATAAAAAAATATTATTTGTTAGTAAATATTTATAAATTGATTTAGGAAAATTTTCTAATTGTAAATAAATGTAATAGTTGACGATTAAAATAATTGAAAAACTGTTGTACAGTATTGCCTCGCAATACATTGGCACATTTGGCATTTGAAAATGCCAAAACAAACTGAATTGTAATTAAGCAAAATGAATTCTAAAAAATTAGTACACATTTTTTTTTCTATACACTAAAGCCTCTTTCTATATCATTTTAAAGTTCTGGTTTCAAATAGTGCGGTATATTTGATGGAACTTATTACCCGTACTGTACGAGTTATTTCTTTATTTGGCATTATTTTTTAAATTGTTTGGAAAATGGAAGAGAATTATAAAATATTATTGCAATCAATGATTGAAAAGTATTTGATGATTAAAGTAAGGCATACAAATAAGTTAAACTTGTTAGAATATATTGATAATTGAATTGAATTAAAGAACTAATATATTCAAATTTATTATGAAATTAATTAGAATTTATTAATAACAATAAAATAACAATAAAATTATCATCAATGTTTCATATTTATTTAATCAAAAAAGATTTTATTTTACTTTTATTTAAATTTATATTTATAAATTTATAAAAAAAAGTTAAAATTAATTAATTGTTAATTATAATTGAGATTGAAATTTTTTGTAAATAAAAAAAAAATAAGTTATGAAATTTGTTTGAATAAAATGATAAGTAAACAATAAAATACTTTACCAAATTGGATAAAAACAAAATAAATATAATCCGGTAGTAGTAAATCCATCTTAACCAATTACGAACAAAGCGAGACTTAATATTTTTTTTTTCAAACCAGAAAAAAAAAGTACAAGTTGAATAGATTATTTTATTAAGTCTACTCACCTAAGAAAAGTAAATAACTAGCACCCCTCATGTTTGCAAAGTCACTAACTGACTGAAGAGTCGACGAGGAGGATTTTGAGATGAGCCAGTGAAAGGACGAAGATCCTCCACTCCTCATCTTCTCTCCGATGGTTTTCGAGGAGGTCGCGAAATCCATCAGAAGGAGTGGGAACCGAAGGTTCAGCGCCCAACATTCTTACCATCTCCTCCGGTACATCTCAGCAAAACTATACAGCAGAAGAAGAAGGAGTCAGTAGGAGGAATTTCGCAACAACTAAAACCTAATTGTTACATACGAAATAGCAGCAGCAGAGAAGAAAGAAAAGAAAAAAAAAAACGGTTCGAAACAATGCGGATTTTTACATATTCCGACTCGACGATACAAAGCTTAATTAAAATTCAATTAGAATTGGCGGATCGGATGTTTCGTAAAAATTAACAAAAAAATATAAATAAATAAATATATTTATTATTCATACAGAAATATAGGATTTGCATTTACTTTAAGCAGATTTGCATCATTTTATTTTTAATCCTAGTATGATCAACATGCATATTTGTTAGTATGAAGCAACGTGCAGAGAAATATTTTAAAGAGTTTGTTTTGCAATTTGCAACTTAAAAGTCGCGGCTCTGCATAATCCCGATCTGAGTAATAATCATCGTCATCTTGGAAAGAGTTAAGATGCTCGGTATTTCTGTTTAGTAAGAATGCCGTATATCCATATCTAGTGAAGCCTTCCTGGAATAAATCACTTTAACCGATGCTACTGTTTCTCTCATGCATAACTCTTTGTATCCACAAAGTAACATTTTACTAATCAAATACGCTGTATCATTGAAATAATAAAATTTTTATTGTATCTCGCATAGTGCGGGTTGAGCCAAAATTCCGTAACATTTGATTATTTATTTGTTTGTAAAAATATCCAATTAATTTATTAATATTTTCAAATTTAAAATAAATTTATAATAAATGTAATTGTTGAGGATTAAAATAATTGAAAAAATGTTATACAGTAATGCCTTGCATAGTGTGGCTTCGATTAGTGCGGATTTACTATAGTACGATTTAAAATATCAAAAGAAACGTAATTTTAATGTCCTTGATCCGATGCGGTTTCAAACAGTGCGGGATGTTGGTGGTATCTATTACCCGTATTGTGCGAGGTATTTTTGTATATTTGATGATTTTATTGTACCTCGCATAGTGCGGCTTCGATTAGTGCGGATTTACAAAAGTACGATTTAAAAATCGATGCGATGCGGTTTTAAACAATGCAGGATGTTGGTGGAACCTATTACCAGTACTGCGCGAGGTATTTTTGTATATTTGATGATTTCGATTGTAACTCGCATAATGCGAGTTTAGCCAATATCCCGTCAATACATAATAAATATTTGATTATTTATTTGTATGTAAATATTTTTGAATTAATTTAGGAATATTTTCTAATTTAAAGTAAATTTATAATAAATGTAATTGCTGAGTATTGCAATTATTGAAAAAATGTTATACATTAATGCCTTGCATAGTGCGGCTTCGATTAGTGCGGATTTACTACAGTACGATTTAAAAATCTCAAAAGAAACGTAATTGTAATAAAGCAAGATACAAATATTTTGTCTATTATTATGTGATCATGTCCTTGATCCGATGCCGTTTTAAACAGTGCGGGATGTTGGTGGTACCCGTACTGTGCGAGGTATTTTTGTATATTTGATGATTTTATTGTCCTCGCATAGTGCGGCTTCAATTAGTGCGGATTTACTATAGTACGATTTAAAAATCTTAAAAGAAACGTAATTTTAATTAAGCAAGATACATTTTATGTGATTATTATGATCCGATGTGGTTTCAAACAGTGCGGGATGTTAGTGGTATCTATTACCCGTACTGTGCGAGGTATTTTTCTATATTTGATGATTTTATTGTACCTCGCATAGTGCGGCTTCGATTAGTGCGGATTTACTGTAGTACTAAATTTTAATTAAGCAATATACAAATATTTGTCTCTTTTTATGTGATTTTAAAGTCCTTAATTCGATGCGGTTTCAAACAGTGCGGGATGTTGGTGGAACCCATTACCCGTATTGTGCGAAGTATTTTTGTATATTTGATGAATCATATTGTACTTCGTATAACTAAAGACTTCAACTCTACATTTTTTAGAATTTATGTTCTTAATTAAAATCTAGTTAGTTTTGAAATTTTCAAACCTGATTATAATAAATCCGGATTGATCGAATCCGCACTATGCGAGGTATTGATGTATATACACCTGTGCCCCGATTTACACAGTAGATAGGTTCCTGAGAAAAACGTGTAAATCGAAATTGTAACTTTTTGAATGTAAAATCGAAAATTATGCAAAAAAAGACGCATAATTTTGTTGTTTATTAATTATGAAATTAATGAAAGGCTATAAAAATGTTTTTTTTTTTATTTTTTTTAAACCGTGCTAAAAAATACAGTGTAATGTGAGGAATACCTTATTTTCGGCATTTATTTTCAAATTTCACCGTGTAATATTGAAATCGTGTAAAAAAAAGTACCGTGTAAAACGAGAATACGGTTTTATTACAGTCCAATATGAAAATTTCAATTAATCAATCCAAATTCTATTTTTTTTTCTATTTTGTTAAGGTACATAAATCAAACAAAAATAATGAATGACAAAAAATATGTTTCTTTTATTAAGTTCATTCTCAACATTTATTTTTAAATTTAATTTTTTTTAAACCGTATAATAACAAAAACGTGTTAAGAAATTACCGTGTAAAACAAAGATACGTGTATTTAGAATTCACTAATGACTCATGAATTATATTAGCCAGTGGAGTTTTTTTTCAATATATATATTTTATTAAATTAATTATTTTGTTACGTATTAGATGATGCTAAATTAGTATGCATGAATGTATCTCAAATTAAAATACATCTCTGAAACAACCGTGCATTTCCTGCTCTCATCTTCCATTAATAAATCTTCCTCTTAATTCGTTTATAAGTAAGCAATTTCGATAAACAATTTCGCGTTTCCTGCTTGAAACCTGTGGAAAGTCCAAACACACTTCAAGCTGCATTTAAATAGATGATTTAGTTGATTGAAATACGAAAAATAATACGCTTAATTACAAACATAAATTAAATCTCTATTTACCCAATTCCAAATCACGTATTTGTGAAACGAGGAAAGTCGTAGTTTATTTACAACTTCATTTTATGTCTTCGTGGAAGGAAATTGCAGATCAGTATACTTTATATCAAATTATACAATTCACCACGCAGTCTTCCAATTCAATTAATAATTACATAATTCAGTTTTAATCAACTTTGACAGAATGGATACATTATCATTATTTTATTTATGATTTGCCTAAGGGTATTTATTTACATCCTTGAAGCTAAACTAATTAAAATACACGATTTTGATAGAACGTTATTGGATAGACTTCTTCAACTCAGGCATTTTACAAACGATTTAGTTCATTGCGTAACTAAATATTTCTTGTTGTTGTTGTTTTTTTATTATTTTCTCTCTTCTTAATGCGAACTTCTTTCGAAGTGGATCAAGTTCGGGATAATTGACATATTGCGAGATGCCTCTTATTTTTTATTGATGTGGTAACACAATCAATGAAGCAAATATTCGTCTTCAATAGGAAAAGGTTAACAATGTCGTGATTTTTACTTGTAAACCGGAATCAATTTTGTTTTTACTATTACTATTACTCACTAACAATTTTGAATGGTAATCCGCATTCTTACTTGAAGGAAATTGCAACATCTAAAATAATAGATTAATTGATGTAAGAGATTGTTTACGAAATTATTTACGTTTTAAAAAACTTTGAACTAGACATGAGTCAGATCGATGTAAATTTACATGAAATTCGATCACCAGTTTAAATATTTATTATGGATTCTTTTTTTGTTCTTGCAATGACGAAATTCAATCTGTTTAAAGAAAGATACAATATCAGTGTTTCTTAACCTATAAGTGGGTATCGTTAAAGTTTGAATTTGTCGCTAAATGACAGCTGTCACCATGTGTCAAACCGAAGACTACGCTTTAGTATAACAGCGTTTCTCAATCTATGAGTTGCGTTAAATATTTAATGAGTTGCTAAATGACAGCTGTCACAATGTATCAAATCGGAGAACTGGTGAAAAATTGTTGATAATTGCATCATAGTATAACTATGTTTTAGTATAACAGCGTTTCTCAATCTATGAGTTGCGTTAAATATTTAATGAGTTGATAAATGACAGCTGTCACCTTGTCTCAATCTATGAGTTGCTAAATGACAGCTGTCACCTTGTCTCAAATCGAAGAATTGGTGAAAAATTGTTGACAATTGGATCATAGTATAACTATGTTTCAGTATAATTGCGTTTCTCATTCTATAAGTTGCGTTAAATATTTAATGAGTTGCTAAATGACAGCTGTCACCATGTGTCAAACCAAAGTACTAGTAATAAATTGTTAACAATTAGATCACAGTACAACTACTTTTCAGTATAACAGCGTTTCTCAATCTATGAGTTGTGTTAAATATATAATGAGTTGCTAAATGGCAGTTGAATGTCAAGAACTGGTGAAAAATTGTTAGCAAATAGGTGGCAAATAGGTTGAGAATCGCTGATCAAGATTAATTAGATTTATGTTTAAAATCTCTATCAATCGCCGGTTTAAATATTTATTATGGATTATTTGTTTTATTGTTGCAAAGACGAAATTCAATCTTGAAGAAAAATACAATATTAGTGTCTCGTAAAATATAATAATAGGTCGCTAAATGACAGCTGTCATCATCTGTCAAAGCAAGAAACTGTTTTACCATATTTTTGGTTTGACACATGATGACAGTTGTCATTTAGCAATTGGGTTGTAATAGAACTACAAACAAGTATGTTGGGTCATGTGGCAAAAGGATTAAGAAACGCAAGTTTATTAGATTTATGTTCAAAAATTCTAAACTAAATAAAATTCAAATGCCGATTTAAATATTCATTAATCATTATTTTTTGTACCTTTGTGTCGAAACAAATATAATATAGCAATACCTCACATAGTGCGGTTTTACTCAATCC